CAGACAGCAGGTCAGAGGGCATGAGGTCAAAGGCCAGTTCCCCATCAGATATCATTTCTAATAAAGACGGTGTCGTGAAAGGCCATTCTTCAACTTCAGCACAATCATCTCAGCTGAAAGAGTCCCATTCTCCCTATTACCATGGCTACGAGCCTTATTATTCTCCAAGTTACATGCACCCTGGACAGGTTGGTGCCCCCACAGCTGGGAATGGTGGGAGCACACAGGGCATGAAGATCAAGAAGGAGTCAGAGGAAGATGCAGAGAAGAAAGACAAGGCAGAGCAGTTAGATTCTAAGAAAGTGGACCACAATTCTACATCTCTACAGCCTCAGCACCAGTCGGTTATCACACAAAGACACCCTGCCCTGGCTCAGTCACTTTATTATGGCCAGTATGCCTATGGGCTCTATATGGACCAGAAATCACTGATGGCCACCAGCCCTGCCTACAGACAGCAGTATGAGAAGTACTATGAGGACCAGAGGCTGGCAGAGCAGAAAATGGTCCAGAGTGGGAGAGGAGAGTGTGAAAGAAAGGCCGAACTCCCCTTGAAAGAACTGGGCAAGGAAGACAGTAAACAGAAAAACATGCCATCGGCCACAATCTCAAAAGCTCCCTCTACTCCGGAGCCTAACAAAAACCATTCTAAGCTAGGGCCATCAGTGCCTAATAAAACTGAGGACACAGGTAAATCACAGCTTCTCTCCAGTCACCAGCCGCAGCTTCAGGCCGACAGCTTCAAAACTAAGCAGATGGAAAACCACCAGCTTATTAAGGAGGCTGTAGAAATGAAGTCTGTCATGGACTCTATGAAGCAGACAGGTGTAGACCCAACCTCGAGATTTAAACAAGTAAGATTGTGGAGTGTGGCCCCAACAGACAGGGAGCAGTCTTGAGTTGTGCACATGTCTTGGGCTTGATCTTGCTAGACATCTTACCTTGGGAGGAAACCATCCAGAGGAGTTTTTCCTCTTCTCTTGAAAATTATCCTTAAAGATCCTTGGGTGTTCCTGTACAATTCTAAAATGCACATTACCCACTGTTTACCTGTCTTAGTGTGTAAAGGAACTCTGGGCATGGGCCCTGAGTGGATTTCCTAAGTCTGTAACTGATGAGGACTCTTGGTTTCTTCATGAGTTTAAGGTGAAGGCATTTCACTAGAGGGCCTCTGAAGTCTCTCGAACCCTGAGATTTCCTACCCTTCTCTAAAACACTCATTCTTTTTATTCACCAAATACCTGTCAGTGTCTTCTAAGATTTTTAAACCCAGTTCACTTGAGTTCCCACATCCCATTCACTGTTTAATGAAGTTTGTGCACCAGATGTTTCCCACAGAGATTTCTATTTTATGTTCTGTTTAGAACCCAAAGTAGAACTCTGGTGCTGTGGGTTCTCAAGGCGTCAGGAACTGCAGGTGATGAGTCTCAGCAGTTCCTTCAGCCAGCCTGAGACTATGTGAAGTGCAGTCCCCGTGAAACCATAGACATGCAGTTCTGTCTCCCTGACAAACTGTTGCCCTTTGAGCACTAATTCTGGTATTCCCCAGCACCGATGCCCCAGCTTCACTCCCTGTGCTTGCCCCCTAGTGAGTCAGAGCAAGAGTTCTTACTGCTGTATACATTTCCGGCCAAAGTTGGGACCCAGGACCAACATCAAATTCTCATTCAATACTTGAGCCCCCAGGGGGTTTACGCCATGAATGTGCAGAGTCATCAAGGCGGTTTAGATCTTTAGTTCCATGTCCCCCATAGCTCTAAATCAGGCTCTTATTTCCAGGGTTGCAGTAGAATAAGACAATTTGGGAGGGCTTATCATTGGGTTTGTCTTCTAATAAATAAATCACAATATGTGCCGTTGATTTGATATTTTTGGTTTTAAAATGTTAGCCCATTAATGAGAATCGAGCCAGCATAGCAAGCCTAAGCTTGCTTGAAGAAAATGTGTTAAGATGCCAAGAGATTTTTCCTTCTAATTGATGTTCATAACTGTAATAATTATTTAAATTTTCTACTATTGGCTTGAGGTAGAGTTTTTGAAATCCCCTTTACCTGTATGAGTAGGAAAATGAAGACTGAATTAAATATGTCTGAGGATATTATATAAAGTTCCAGCTCTTGGCCCAGCTGCCATGTAACCTTGATGTTGGCTGAACTTTAAAAGCATTTGGTTTAGCCTGTGGTGTAAGGATTGATGATGAAGCCCACCTCAGGCATTATTACTTTATCACAGTAGGAGGAGGAAAAGCACATGTTAACCCAGTATAAAATAATAGGAAACAGTGCTGTCGTGTAAATGAATGGGTTTGCTTTGTAAACAATGAAATTTTAAGCTAGATCTTTATTTTAAAACCAGGATCCAGAGTCAAGGACATGGCATCATTACGTATACCAGCCCAAGTATCTAGATCAGCAAAAGCCAGAAGAACTTGACAGAGAAAAGAAATTAAAAGAGGACAGTCCGAGGAAGACGCCTAACAAAGAGAGTGGTGTGCCTAGCCTTCCCGTGTCATTAACAAACATTAAAGAGGAGCCCAAAGAGGCCAAGCGCCCAGATTCTCAGTCAGTGGAGGAAAGCAAGCTGAAGAATGATGATGGAAAGACTCCCGTGAACTGGAAGGACTCTCGGGGGACAAGAGTGGCTGTGTCCTCACCTATGAGTCAGCATCAGTCGTACATACAGTACTTGCATGCTTATCCTTACCCACAGATGTATGACCCCAGCCACCCTGCATACCGGGCTGTTTCTCCTGTCTTAATGCACAGTTACCCTGGTACGTGTTGTGGGTTCAAAATACACTGGAGGGAAGAGGCTGTGTTCAAATGATAGCTATTAACAACTGACGATAAATTAGAAGCTTTGGGAATGACATTTGTTTTGCTTGTTTTTAATGCTACTTAAAGTCCCAAAGATGAAACTGATTTAATGTGAGATTTTTATATTTTGTAATGAAATGTCAAGAGTCCTCAGGCTCTAGCTTCCATAGTTCCTGATGGCTTACTGTAGATGTTTAGACTGACAGATACTTTATTGCCTGTGGAAATATTCTAAGCACTTACTGTCATAATCATTATAGTTACTGTTTCTTTCACTTAAGCGGACACATAAATGGATGAAGTAGCTGTAAGCTCAATTCTGTTTATATCCTCCGTTCATCAGGATGAATTAACCAGAGAACAAAATCGGGGAACCTAGACACAGATAAACAATGATGTAGCCCGTTCTTAATGTAACCCCTTATTTTAAGATGTCTGACTCGTACCCAAAATTCATGAAATCCAGCTGATTTTTGTTTTTAAGATGTAGCCTGTAACATGATGTGACATTTGTTGTTTATCTGCAGGGGCCTATCTCTCTCCAGGATTTCATTATCCTGTTTATGGGAAGATGTCTGGGAGAGAGGAGGCAGAAAAAGTCAATACCAGCCCCAGCATCAACACAAAAACAGCCAGTGAAGCCAAAGCCCTGGACCTGCTCCAACATCACGCCAACCAATACCGAAGCAAGTCCCCTGCTGTAAGCCTCCTTTTGTTGGTAGTTAAAAGGCCATGTTTGGGGGGGAAAGGAGGACGAGCAACAGAAGAGTCTTGAAAGAGAAATGGTTTAGGAACCCAGCTGGGATTTCAGGATGCTTTTCTATCCTGATACATAAAGAATGGAATGTTGAAATATAAGATGTGGTCACACCGGAGGGGAAAATGTCATTGAAGCCTTTGTGGGAGTGGGGAGCTTCTCTGTTGCAAAAGTATGGTGTTCCTTGCTTACCCTGGAGGAGGTATGGAAGGGGGGAATTTAAATTTATAGTGACCTCTTGTATAAAATGTTTCTTGTTAAAACATTAGCAAAGGAAGTGCCAGAGGACTATTTTATACTGTCCTTGTTACAAAGTGGGTTCAGAGGCCACTAACTGTTGATTGACCTACTAGACAAATTGAGTTTTGCAAAATGTTTTCTTAAGGATGGGGATTGTAGCTGGGCGTTGCTGGCACACTCCTTTAATCCCAGCACTGAGGAAGCAGAAGCAGGTGGATCTCTGTGGAGTTCAGGGCCAGCCTGATCTACAGAGCTAGTTCCAGCACAGCTAGGGTTGTTACACAGAGAGACCCTGTCTTGAACCCCCCTCCCTCCACAAAAAAGGTAGGGGGTGTAGCTCAATGGTAGAGCACTTACCTATCATGTGCCCAGTTGATATCCCTAACCTGAAAAACAAACAACGATAAAGATAAAAATTAAAAGCAAACAAACAAATGTTTTCCTCAGAAACAACTTTCAAAAATCAAGTTTTCTTGTACAAATTGAAAGTCTTGCTTCCTGTTCAGACAGTAGCAAATGCAGTCCACAATTATGTGACAGTGGTTGAGGGGAAAAGAAACCCGTTCTAGACAGTCTAGTTCCTCGTGTGTGTAAGTATGTACATAAATAAAGGTGACCAGACAGACGTCACCCCTGTCCTCTGTGCTAGCCTAACCTCAGTAGACCCGAAGTTTCAGATCCCTTTGTTGACCTGGGTATTCCCATGGTCCATATTCACAGTCAGAATTCTGTTCCTGTAGAACAATACTGAGGGTCCGTGACACACAATGACAATTAATTATATTCAGACATTCATTTGAGTCTTGTGCAATGTGGGGCTCGTATATGCAAGCCTGAGTCACTTGGCTGGGGAATAAGACTGCAACTGCTGCCTGCTGGTCTTGATGGAATTATCCTGTCCCTGTCATTCCATAGAAGTAATACACAAAAATGTCTTTGTGAAAAGAGGCTCTCCCAACAAAATACCAACTGCTGGTCCTTTAAAGACACCAAAGGAAAGTGATGGTTCCAAGTTAGGAAAGAAAAGAGATGAAATGATTGAAATAGAGTGTTTACACGTCGAAAACAACCATTACAGAGAAACTAAAAAAGATGATCCGTGCTTGATCCCTTTTTTGTAATTCCTCCATTCAGTATATACACAGACTTTGTTCCCATGAGAGAGCCCAGAGCAGGCTTGCTAGGGTCTAAAAGGAGAAATGTATTTGAGACACAGTCCTTAACCTTCTCTGATGTGGAAGAACTGAAATTTTTGATGACATCTCAGAAATGAAGAATCTGGAATGTGGGCAGGACAGTGGTTTCCTGTCGAGTCTGCCCACCCCCAAATGTTCAGGAGATTGGTTCTTGAACTCTTGGGAAGTACCAAGTCTGAAGATATCCCATTCCCCTTTGTAAAACAATGACACAATATTTGACATAAACCTACATTCATCCTTGTATTTCAGTTATTCACCAATCACCTCCAAGTGTCTAATACAAGAAAAGCGCTATATAACGCTTCTTATACTGTACTGTTTAGGGAATCATGGTTACTAAACAAGTCTTAATATTTTTAGTATGCCAGTTTCCTTCATAATGTTTTTGATCCAGGCTAGCTAAATCATGGAAGTGAAGCTCATGAATACAGTCAGAAAGGAGAAGGATGTAGTGATTAAAATATGTGTGCCGTGTGAACAAGTACTGTATATCACTGTAGGAATTTGAGATTGGATGTGCATTTTTGTGGGAACACAATGGTTACTTTTTTTTCCCCTCTCCAGACAAGTTTACTTTGTGTAGCCCTGGCTGTTCTTGAACCCTTTTTGTAGACTGGACTGGCCTCAAACTCACAGATATCCACCTGCCTCTGCCTCTCAAGTTGTGGGACTAAATGCGTATGCCACTATAGCTTTTTAAAAAAATTACCTTTTCAAAATTATCAGATAAATTCCTTCCACAAAGTATAAATAAAGTAAAATTAGAAAACGTAACTTTTAAGAATAGTCTCAAAAACCCCTTTTAAAGAATTCATACATAAAAACTGTTTCTGAAAGAGACCAAGTGGATTCTAAAGTGCAATTTTCAATAGTGAATCTTGAGATCATTTTTAGGAAATATTCGCAGAAAACCTTGGTGCCATTTACCTTACTCTGGTAGGTTCTCTAGTTCTGTTAGACAAACACATGCCCTTTAACTCTATCTTCCACTGGTGTAGAGTTTCCAGTAGCTGTATCCACTCAGTGACCTGAATGAAGTACTAGTGGCTGTAGGAGGAGAGGGCTTTGGTACTTCTGATGTTTGTGTGTTGGCGAATTAAAGGAAGGCATTTCTCTTTTCAGCCTGTGGAGAAAGCTTCCACAGAGCGGGAACGGGAGACGGAGCGGGACCGGGATCGCCATTCCCCCTTCGGCCAGCGGCACCTGCACACTCATCACCACACCCATGTTGGCATGGGCTACCCTCTCATCCCTGGTCAATACGACCCTTTTCAAGGTCAGTAGCTCATTTCATCGGTGCCATTCTGGTTTGGCTGACAGTTGCTATGTCTTCCTGTCACTAATTTAAAATGAAAAATACTGAATTTTGACTAACACTAGCTGTGGGGACTATTCCTAACACTTATTTCTCAGTATTCCTGAGAGACACACCTAAGGCTGTTTGTATTCTATTGAGACTTGAAGTGGCTACCACTTAATAATTGTCACTGGGAGATGTTATCTCACCAACTGAGGGTGGCAGCCAGTGTCTGGTGCACCAAATAAAACAATCAGAAAATCAGATAGCTATTTCGGGGAAATTGTAGAGAAAACAGAGCCATGGTAAGTGGCTTTGGTGAAATCATTTATTCTGATTATCTCCAGTTCTTTTAAATTGCCATTTTCCCACACTAGTAACCAGCATGGCCAGAACTAACATTTCATAACCCAACCGAAGGGCACTTTGCATCCTTCACTGATGGGACATGTTTTGCTAAACATGAGTGAGAGTTAGCACATTCAGGACACAAGAGGTGACCATGCCTTACCCGTTCCATCTGTGTCACCTCATAAGGCATTGGCTGTCTCTATTTTTTCACAGTTCTGGAAGTTGTAGCTGGAGAGCCTGGTGCCAGTTGTGCCTGGTGCCATTTCTGGTGAAGCCTTTCTTAGTAGAGTTGGGGAGGGATTTCCTACTTTTTCACCATAGAGCAAGGCAGGGAAGCAAGGCTTCTGGAATCTGCTTCTATAAGAACATTTAAGCCTATCAAATCAGTATGCCGTCCCTAGGACTTCATTTTAATTACTTCTGTCTAAGCTCTTGAGTCCAAATGCAATCAAATTGGGAATCTGGGCCTCAACATGGGATCTTTGCTGGGTAGAGGGCATTTTAGCAATGGCAAAGGCTAAGGTGCTTAGCAAGATGATGTTGGAAATGCAGAGAGTGTAAAGGAATTGGGCTTCTTTGTTCATTTGTTATTTGGTGTTAAAAATAAAGCTCACTCTTGTCTCTCTCCCTCTTCTCTCTCCACTTCCTTCCCTTTCCCCCTTCCCCAATAAAACTTCCCACTTATAAAAAAAATCATAGATAGAGGATATGATGGACAGACAGACAGACAGACTGATAGATAAAGCAATCTCCCAAATCACCAAGTGTGAGAGGGAAATTAATTCTATCTCTAACACATCACAGATGTAAAGGGGTATATGTGAACAGAATAAGTATCTCATCATTTTTGTATGTATCTGTAATGTCTCAAATTATCCAAATAAAACATATCCAAATAAAAATGGAAGGAGAGAAAAATCTTCCTGTTTGCTTTGTTTACTGTGTTTCCTCGGAATTTTTTGTGTTTGTTTCTTGTATAGCATTTCCCTTTTTCTTTTTTTCTTTTTTTAATAATTTTATTTTATGTTTACTGGTGTTTTGCCTGCATGTGTGTCTGTGTGAGGGTTTCAGATCTTGGAGTGTCTGTAGTGAGCTGCCATGTGGGTGCTGGGAATTGAACCCTGGGTCCTCCGGCAGAAAAACCAGTCCTCTTAACAGCTGAGCCAACTTTCCATGCCTTCCCCATGCCCCCTTTTCTTTGTATAGATTAGGACTATTTTTCTTAAGTTGATATAGACTCAGAAAGTGTGGTTTTTCTGATTTTGTTATCGGAATTTATTCCATATACTTTATGGGTTGCATCATGTTTAAGTCACTGGGGAGAATGCTACAGCAAAAGAAGTCATTATATAAGTTTTCTGAACAAAATAGCATGTTTCTATAATTCTCCGGCTTTGCTTCCTGTTGTTATTTGGTACCTATTATTTGTCCTGAGCTTCCTATACCGGAATACATGCAAACCACTTAGCGCCATGCAGAGCCAGTGAGATGGAAGGCTATATCCTCTGAATACCTATTAAGAAAACCACCAAGTATTCAGTAAAGCAATAGATGTTGGCTACACTGAGCAGTTTGTAGTCTGCCCTAGCCATGTGAAACATTTCACGTGAACATTTAGGAAAGGACAAATCACTGCTACCCGTTCTGTGCCCTTTACCACTCACTGGGCCTGTGTCTACACCTGCCTTTTCCCAGGTCATGGTAACCCTGTGTTTTCTTCCCATCAGGCTTGACCTCTGCTGCCCTCGTTGCCTCTCAGCAGGTGGCTGCCCAGGCATCTGCATCAGGAATGTTTCCTGCACAGAGAAGGTAAATATTCTCAACACCTGAAATTAGCCTTCCCGCGGAGATGTGCTGATGGTTGCAAGGAAGAGAAGATAGGCTTGGAAAATGAAAAACTTGATGCCTTGTATTTGATTTTATTGTAATGAATGAACATATTATAGCAGTATGCTTCACATGGGACTTGCATTCTATGAGCCTCACTCTACAAATGTGATGATGTACATCAGTAAGGAAATGATTGATTTTTTTTTTAATCTTAGGTTAAGGTAATGTTAACTCTACAACCTTGTCCGCAAAGCTAGTGTAGCTCAGTGGCTTAGTAGTTGACTAGCATGCCCAAGGTCCTAGCTTCGAGCCTCAGCATTATACAATAAAATACCAGGACACAAATCCCTTCATTTTAGTATATTTAAAAATAGGGTTGCAAGTGGAGAGATGAGTTATTATAATGCTGACATTTGTGCCCTGGTGTTTTAAGTGACCCTACAAGCTGTCATAAGAAGGAAAAAATAAATTTAAAAGAAGATTACCTGCGTAAGATTAACACTCTCTCAAAATGTAGTCCATTTGTGTTTCTTCATTTCCCTGGGAAGTCCACAAATGAAATAGAGCTAATTATACAAAGAAGTCTTTCCGTCTCACTGTCTTTAGGTTTTCCTGTCAAATGTTGAGAGAACTCTCTGCTATGGTGTGCTCTTCTTTTGCAGAGAATAACAGGATCGG